CACGTCGGGTGCAGAGAACAGCTGCCTGCCCCCCAGGTGAGGCTGTGAGCCCAGGGCAGATGGAAGGCCAGGTTCAGTGATGCTCAGTAGCCCCCCCTCAGAAAGCACTTCTGAGACTTCAGAGCTAAAGAACCACTCATGTGACCTGTGGTCATCTTAAATGCGTCCTCTAATTCCTTAAGAAGTGGACCTTAATTCCCTCCCTCCCCTTGAGAATAGGCTGGACTTCCTGACTCGCTGCTAATGAGCTGGGACAACGTGGCACTTCTGGACTTGGCCACAAATACTCAGTGGCTTTCACGGCGGTCACTCTTGAGCCACATGCTCTGGGGGATGCCAGCCGCCACCCTGTGGAGATCGCCAAGCAGCCCCAAGAGAGGCCTGTATACACAGCAGGGCACTCGCGTCTCCTGCTCACAGCTGGCTGAGGATGCCACTTCATGTGGTTCCTCCAGCTCCCATTTGAGCCTTCAGTCGAGACTGCAGGCCCCACTGCCATCCTAACTGCAGCCTCACGGAAGACCCTGGGCCAGAGCTACACGGCGAAGTCACTTCCGGAGTCCCAACCCTCAGAAACTGTGTGAGATAATACATGTTTGTTATTTTAAGATGCTACATTGTGAGGTAACTTTTGATGCAGTGATATATAGCTAATCTTAGACTAATGAGGCAAGCCCTGCATTTCGGCGGGGCCTGCGACCTAGACTAACGGGGCAAGCCCTGCGTTTCGGTGGGGGATACGAACAGTGCCTTGCGTTTATATAAGGCTCATAGTTCTCAAAGCATTTTAACATCTGTTCTCATCTGAGCCTCTTGATAAAACCTCAAATAGTGGCAGCAACCACACCGTTCACATCCCTCCAACACCTGCACGCTGCCAGCGTGGCCCACGGGCCGCACGCTCGCCTTACCTCAGTTGATTAAATCATACACTAGAACTCACATCCACGTGGCCTCAAGATGTCAGCAAAAGTGAGCTCCTCACAATTACAGGTCAGATATGAAACCGAGGGGAGAGGGGCTGAGCAGTACCCTGGCGGCGTCACGGCCAGAGTCAAGGTCGCGACCCAGTGAAGCCCCGTCACACTGGCCTCCAGGCACACAGGGCGCGCAGGTTCGCCGCCTGCCCTAACCCCACACTGAACCCTTCAATTCGGGAAGTCCCTTGCAAGGTGGCTCCAGGCTCCGGGGTCGCAGTGCGGTTCGGCCCCAGCAGGCGGCAGCAGAGACCACCGCCGCAGGCCAGCAGCGCCACCACTGGCGCCCCGAAGACGTTCAGACCACGCCCCCCAGACCGGCGCTCAGACCACAGTCCCCAGACTGGCGCT